CGCTTTTTTCAAGCCCAGCTAGTATCTTTAAAGTCATGATTCTGAACTCTAGGTCCAACATCGCACTAATGTCCGTATTGAGTAGGTACCTGGCTGACGGTACTACCTCTTGTTCTTTTTGCTGAGGTGATTTTTTTCATCTTGCCATTTTGTCCAGAGGAGAATAGATGAATGATATAACCAAATGCTAACAGGTTAACAATGTCCCCAGCAAATATACTCTATACAAATCAGAAAAGATCTGAAACCAGGGGGAAAGAAACGGAAAGAAAGAAAAAAGAAAGAGAGAGAGAAAAAAAGAAAAAAGATAAAAACAAACAAAAACGGAACAAAAAAAACCAGAATATGATCAGATATGATCAGGCTAGTGCATAGATCAGTGCCACACACTAGATTTTGGGCGTATTTTGGTCTGTTAGAAGAAAGTGCCTCCTAAAATGTTAAAGGAAGAGAGACTTATATACGTACAAAATAAGGGTTGATACAATGAAGGGATGGAAGATGAATGTAAAGATGAAAATTATAAAAGATTTTATAAAAGGAATTGATAAGATAAGAAGTTGTTTGAAAAAAGAAGATTTAAAAAAAAAAGAAATGAAAAAAAAAGGGAGAGAATGTGATCAGGCAGGAGACTAGAACAAAACCATACACTAGTGATTTAGGGTATATTTTGATCTGTTAGAAGAAACTGTATCTCAAAATTTTAAAGAGAGAACAACTTATATATATATGCCAAAAATAAGGGTAACTACTATGAAGGGATAAAATATGACTCTAAAAATGAAAAATTAAAAATGTTTTTTTAAAAAAGGAATTGATAAGATGTTGGTTGAAAAAGGGAAAAAGAAAAATTCAAAAAAAAAGTTAAAAAAATTAACTTTGAAAAACTAATGAATCATGGTAAAAAAGTCATGAATTCTATGTGGAGTATTCCCCTAGCGCTGGAGTTCTCCCGTTCTCCTTGATCGGTAAACTTGGTCTTGGCTTGCTGGCTGTTCACGCTGATCTTCTGGGGGAGGGGCCTGTTGCCGTGGTTCCCAAATGTCTTTGCTAGAGGCGGAATTGCCCCGCCCTTGTCGTTGGGGCTGAGCAATCGGCTGGGGTTTGCTCTCGGGAGCTTTTGTTCCCTGCAAGCTCTCGGTGCGGCTTTGGAGGACCAGAGTGAAAATGGTGGCCTCCTAATCTCTGCCCTGGAGGAGCCGAGAACTGGGGGCCCTGCTCCTCAGTGCACCCCCAGAGAAAAGCAGTCAGTCAGTCCCGTCTCCCCGGTCTCCGGACGCACTCAGTGCTCACCCGGCCTGTGACAAGTGTTTCTATCTCTGGCACCCGACCCCGTGTGGAGTCTCCAAACCCAGCAGATCCCTGCAGTGTGCTTCCCTGCTGCTCCTCCGGGGGGGAGGAAGGGGAGTCTCCCCAGCTCTGCCGCTTTTTGGGTCCCTGCTGGAGGAGCAGTGGCCCGACTGGGCCGCGGATCACAGTTTATGGCCACCCCGAGCTGAGAGCCCGCATCTCGGCTCCGTGTCTGCAGCTGGCTTCCCCGCTCTAATACCCGGAAGCTCTGCTGCACTCAGGCACCCCCGGTCTTTCTGTGACCCCGAGTGTCCTGAGACCACAGTGTCCTGCGAGGGTTCCACCCCCCACTTAGCCACTGGAGCAACCAGCAGAGCCGACTTCTTGAAAGTTCCAATTTTGTGCTCCAGGGCTCTATCACTTGCCAGAAGCGGCCGACGGAGGCCCCCTCCCCCGCCGTCTATCCTCCTGAATATCGCCTCGGATTCAGTTCTCCGCACATCCTACCTTCCAGAAAGTGGTCGCTTTTCTGTTCAGAGAGTTGTTGCTATTCTTTTCTTCAATCTCCTGTTGAGTTCGTAGGTGTTCAGAATGGTTTGATCCCTATCCAGCTGAATTCCTGAGACCAGATGAAATCCAGGTCTCCTACTCCTCCGCCATCTTGCTCCCAGGAATTGAAATTTTTGATTAACAGCCCTGTCTGAGCCCCCAGCTAACATCCAGCAACAACTTGCCAACTAATGGCTGTTTGGAAATGAATCCTTTGACCCCGTTTGAGCTACCCCAGGTGAAGCCACATGAATTGTTCTGCTGAGTCCTGCCCAAATTTTAAATTCATGAGCAGTTTTGGGGTAGTTGATTATATAAAATTGGTAACTGAAACACCACTTTTTGTGAATCTATTTTATAGAAATAAGAACAACAGAACACAAAAATAGATGAATACAGGGATCTAGCAATGTTTTTTATGATAGTCCAAAAAAAAAAAAGCAAGAAAGAAAAAAAATAAACTAGAAACAAAATTAATAGAAAAAAAATGAATACATTGTGGTTAAAGACAACTTTATTGTATGACACATAATAATCAATTGCATTTTATACACTAATAACAATCTGAAGAGGAAATTACAGAAACAATTCCATTAAGAGTATTATGAAAAAGAATGAAATACTTAGGAGTTAACCAAGAGGGGGAAGTCTTATATAATGAAATTTATAAAACTTTGCTGAAAGACATTAAAGACATAATAAATGGAAACATATCTCATGTTCATAGATTGGAAGACTTCATATTGTTAAAATGTCAATACTACCCGAAGTGATCTGCAGATTCAGTGCAATCCCTATCAAAATCCCAAAGACAAATCTGTATATCTGGGGTAAATACACAGAAGTGCAATTGCTGGGTCATAGGGTAGCTGTATTTTTAAAGTCTTGAGGAACCTCCATACTGTTTTCCAAGTTGGGTGGGGGGAGGGAGTAACTTGGTGATGGGCAATAAGGAGGGCATGTGATGTGATGAGCACTGAGTGTTATATGCAACTAATGAATCATTGAACATTATATCAAAAATTAATGACATACTATATGTTGGCTAATTGAATTTAAATTTAAAAAAATCCTAATGACATTTTTTGCCAATATAGGAAAACCATCCCAAAATTCATATGGAATTTCAAGGGAACCCAAGTAGTCAAAATAATCTTTAAAAAAACCCAAAAAAACAAAGCTGGAGGACTCCTGACTTCCAAACTTATTACAAACCTACAGTAATAATTACAAACTTATTAATTACCTACAGTAATTAAAATAGTATGGTACTGGCATAAAGATAGACATGTAGACCAATGGAATAGACTAAAGAGATCCCAGAAATTAATCCTCATTTATATGGTCAATGATTTTTGACAAGGCTGTCAAGATTATTCATTGGGAGAAATGATAATTTTCTCAACAAATGGTGCTGGGAAAGCTGGATATCCACATGCATAAGAATGAAGTTGGACACTTATCTAACATATACAAACATTAACCCACAATGGATTAAAGACAAATATAAGACCTAAAACTATAAAACTCTTAAAAGAAAGCATAGGGCAAAAGTTGCACGACATTGAAGTTGGCAGTGATTTCTTGGCTATGACACCAAAGACAGCAATAAAAGAAAGGCAAGGTAAACAAATTGGACTTAATGAAAATTTTAAATTTTGTGCACCAAAAGACACTCTCAACAGAATAAAAAGCCATTATTCAGAATGAGAGAAAATATTTGCAAAACCAATATCTGATAAATGACTAATATCCATAGTATATAGGAAATTCCTTAAATTCAACAACAACAAAATAAACAACTTAATTTGAAAATGGGCAAAGGGCTTGAAAGGACATTTCTCCAAAGAAGATACACAAATGGCCAATAAGTACATGAAGAGATGCCCAACATCACTAATCATTAGGGAGGTGCAAGTGAAAACTACAATGGGATACTACCTCATACTCATTGGGATGGCTATTATCAAAAAAAAGAACAACAAATGTTGGTGAGGATATGGAGAAATTGGAACCCCGTGCACTGTTGGTGGGAGTGTAAAATGGTATAGCTGCTGTGGATAACAGTATGGAGATTTATCAAAAAATTAAAAATAGAATTACCGTATGATCCAGCATTTCCACTTCTGGATAGATATACCCCAAAGAATTGAAATCAGGATCTCAAAGATATTTGTACACCCATGTTCAAGCAACACCATTCATAGTAGCTAAAAAATAGAAGCAACCCAAGTGTCCATCAGTAGATGAATGAATAAGCAAAATGTGGTTTATACATATAAGGAATATAATTCAGCCTTAAAAAAGGAAGGAAATTCAGACACAGGCTATAATATGGATGAACCTTGAGGTTGTTATGCTAAATGAAATAGGCCAGCCACAAAAAGATAAATACTGTATGATTCCACTTATATGACATACTTAGTATAGCCAAAACCATAGTGTGGTTGCCAGGGGCTGGGAGGGAATGGGGAGTTATTGTTTAATGGGTACAGCTTCAGTTTTACAAGATGAAAAGAGTTACGGAAATAGGTGGTGGTGATGGTTGCACATTATAGTTGTATTCCATACCACTGATCTGTATAGTAAAAATGGTTAAGATGGTAAATTTTATGTTATATGTATTTTACCAAGATAAAAAAATTTTAAAGCTCTATTATGGACTTACTTTGCTATATATTATTATAAATTAGTTAAAGCTATATGTATCCACATGGAAAGATATCCAAAATATGTTGATAAATCTAAAAAAGCAAATATCAGAGTAAAATGGTCAGTATAATTTAATGTACATAAAAAAGAAAACACTATAAATATGTATATTTTATGTATACTTATACAAGCATAAAAAGAATCTGTATATCAAGCTATTAACACTGATTTTGTCAAGAGAATGGGATTGGATAAGGGAGCTAGAAAATATTTTTTTCTTTAAACACTTCTATATTGTTTGAATAGTTACAAAAAACAAATATTGCTCTATTATTCTCTCTCTCTCTCTCTCTCTCTCTCTCTCTCTATATATATATATATATATATATATATATATATATATA